GTTAAATTTTAAATATTATAAGAATTTCTGGCTGGCGCCATGGCTCATGCTTATAATCTTACCACTCTGGCTCTTGGGTGCTGGACACACTACCAGAGGGACATTACCTAACAAATGCAAACATTGTAACCCTAGTTTTTTGAGCTCTCACAATAATCTGGAGGAAAACAATCTGGGGGAACAATAGTCCTAGCACTCTAATCTAGATATGCAGTGAAATCTTTTACAAACAGAAATTCTTTTTTTTTTTTTCTCTTTTTGAGATAGGACCTCACTCTGTTGCCCAGGCTAGAGTGCCTGGCAGGAGGATCCTTCAAGTTTAGGAATTGGAGACCAGCCTGAACAAGGGGAAGAGATTAATGTTTTGTCTACTTGCTTATTGCCCTTTTAGTCCTGTAACCTTGTAAAATTTCAATCTGCATAATTTTTTTCTTTTTTAAATTTTATTTCAGAATATTACAGGGGTACAAACATTTTGGTTATAAAAATCATTTTTGTATTATTTGATCAAAGTTCTAAGTCTCAGCTACTTGGGAGGCTGAGGCAAGAAAATCGCTTAAGCCCAAGAGTTGGAGGTTGCTGTGAACTGTAACACCACGGCACCTACTGAGGGTGACATAGTGAGACTCTGCCTCAAAAAAAAGAATAAACAGGACCAATAACAATAAGCAGTTAAATCACTAGAGTTTTTTGTTTTATTTTTGTATCCCTGGACATGTCTGCTAGGTTTCAGTTCTCTTAGATAAATTTTCTCTTTCGTTAAGTACAAGAAAAATAGTCATGAAGTTGCATCAAAAGCATTAATAGAAGGCGAAGGGAATACATTTTAAGCTATTTCCCAAGTTGCATTTAAAATACCAACTGCAGGGAGCGGGGAATGGATGGAGGGAGGGGGATTGGAGGGATCACTTCTGAGGTTTATCTTACAGGGGTACAAGTGAATTTTTCTAAGAGTAGAACGTTTTAAAACAATAACTGAGAAAATGACATGAAGGCTCTGTTGACCAGTTTGATGGAAGTATTTCGGATTGCATGTGAAAACCCCACACTGTACCCCAGAAG